CCTTTTACAAAGGGGGAGGGCTGTGGTGAACAGCACGCGAACGCAGTTAGCAATCGGGAGCGAACATGATCCAATTGATTTACGTGAATGAACTTCACCTAACTATGTTCGTTCAGGGATCGATGTTTAGCAAGGCTATATAAGCGTACTTGTTATCTTGTACACACACCCCGCTGCTGCATCAGTAAATTAGTTGAGCTACGCGCCATCAGCATTTTCTGCTCTTTCCGTCGGGCCGTGTCAATGTAGATCGTCGGCCCTGCTGTGGTTTCTAAAACCGCACCGGGGACCACTACATTACCATGAAAGACTTAAGGTGTGGCATTATATTCACGATCTCCATCCCAGATATCGATCGTCATTGGTATGAAGAAGCTCATACTGTGTCCCAATTGTCCTGCAATTGGTTTTTGAATTGATAGACGAAAAGTCAAACCACGATCAACATTAAGCCGTTAGCATCAGCTTAACAACTAACTAACATGCTGCGACACGACCCACCACGCGCCACTGCACATTGAAAGCCGGCTTATCAACACAGTCTGGTGTGGACCTGTAAAAGTACACGTAGCTGAGTGGCGAGATGAATGAAACAGTTTAGTCTCTCTCTCGCTCTCCTGTCTCATTTCCGCCTTCGCCGCATCGTGTTGAATCGTGAGACACCAAGTTAATGAGCCAGAAATCTTTCCACCGATCTGTCATCAAATCTGATTTATTTAAAGGCCTTACCAATTTTATCCCCTGGCCGTGAGTGAAGTGTCATCGTCCGCCTCGTCCACACTTACGGGTTTCCGGGGCGCATCACGTGTCCCAACACCCTGCCTTTGCTGACGGTTGACGCCTCAAATGTTGCCAGAGTAGTGCTCAACAAATACGGCTGAAACAGTGGGCGTTATTCTCACGAGCCTCGAGGCGCTCTCGTTGCAAAGTGCTGCTGTCGAGTGTTACCTATGTTTTGCCAAGAGTAGCCAGATTTATGACCATGCGGATCGCAGACGATTGGTTGCCTACATTGTCCAACTTTTGGGGTACACAGACCTTCTCGAGTGATGTGCATCAACATGACGCGTAAACATCACCATGTGACTTCAATTCAACTCTTCATGCTGTAATTAGCATTCACCGACTCTAAAACAATGACTACTTTCTCCCCAACTCCGTTAGATGATGCGTCAATTCCCTTTTCCGCATTCCAGCTGCTCCCATGGTTCCACCTCTAGTCTAATGCCATTGCAGTTTGGTAACCCCAATGCAGGGCCACATAAAACGGAGCTAGTCATATTTATTGGCCTATTTCACTTTTGAGTTCAAACCTGTTAGTTGGTGGGGGTACTCTGTGGTGAGCCTCTCGACCACGCCTGAATGGATGTGGGGCAACAACAGACAGCGATGTGGAGACGTCTGGACGGAGCCAAGTCTGTCGCCCCAATGCTGAACCGAATTCCAGTCATGACTCAATCTGGTTGTTATGATCACCGTCTCACTCGCAGCTCAGTGCTAAGACTAAGTATATTGTGAAATAATTCGTGTGGAAAGAAACGGAGGTTTAGAGACACGCATGGAACTGGTATGGATCCCCTTATTAACTCAACTGGTAGACCATTCCTATTTTACGGAAACAACCACTACCAGAAAGTACCTTCGCAGAAAGCGAATGAGGTCGACGGAGCTTCGAACAACCATCTTTGCCAGATCCCGAACTTCAATGGTCACTGTTTGAAACTCTACTTCTGATAAGCGGAGTCATTAAATTGGAACATACTAAGTCCACCCACACTACCGTTAGTGGCCTTATCCAATCAATCCTTAAGGCAGTTTTTTTGGTGTTGATCTCCAATTTGCTTTTAATGTGATGGGTCGCAATTATCACTTTGTCCAACGAATCGCCAGACAGAATTGTGACGACAGAAGGGCACTTGCTGAACCGAGATCCTCGTATTTCCACGTCTCATTGCCCTCCACACGTGCATTTCAGTCGAACGATCTCCCTCAATCACATTCCATCCTTGCGTCTCAGAGCGGAGCAGGTGTCCACAAACCACTCTCCACAATTTCGATTCGCCCCCAATTCCACCCACGCCTGCATGACTCACTTCGGAACGTGACTTGCGCTAATCCTCCAGGCGCGCGCGTTGCCGTTTCCAACATTAAATCCACCAAGTGTTGATACGTTTATTTCGGGGCGGTGGTAATGATTACCGCAAGTATAAGGCTCCGAATACTTACTTAAGGGAATGTAAGAAAATTAAGATTCCTGCCCAAATCTAATTATACCAGTGGGGTTTCTGTGTTCAAAAAACGACAGCCATTTTCGTCAATACCATCTCCTGTGAATCGTGTCTATTCACACTCCTTAATTCGGTCGCTCCATCGTCCGACACAGGGTTCCCCTTGTCGCAGCATGTCGCCTGCCGTGCGGATCGTCAACTCCCCCCTCATTAGCACGATCGATTATTCTGGATCATCCTCACCCCTAGGTCTCGATGTCAGCACATCAATGACTCACACATCTGAGGTGGAAATACACATGCGCAAACCCCACACACGACACAATGACACCAACGTGGTGGACCTCTGAAGTAAACGGTTGTGTCCACGTCCTCTCCAATCTTTTTCTTCATCGCGGGTATCAGGTAAGCGTAATCGGGTAAGAGCCCACAACACGTCCAAAGAATCAGTTCTGATGTGATGAACTTTTGGTTTGAAATCTTAATCTGTCCAGAGGACACATGTAGATGATTTTGGCAAATGGCAAAGTAACCGCACGTTCGTGTGGACGTATTTTGGAGTCTCTGGATTTCACGGCTGTTAGAGTAAAGATGAAGAAGAAATGCGCTTTAATCAAGAAGGGTTTTCACATAAACCCCCCGGAGTCGGGCTAATATGCACTTTAGGATCTAATTACGGTAAACCTCGAACGCAAAATGGCGAGCATGATGTGAAACGCAGTCGAAGAGTGAGGAGTGTAAGTGTATGCATGGAACTGCCACCCAATGTGCATAATTCTCCAGGTTGGTCACGAAACTGCCAAATTATTAGGCTCAAGACTCCCACGAAATGTCGGTCTGGCCAGTGATGTAATTGTCCAGATGTCTTGCTTAATTTTAGGTGGACATGCCATCTGTCACTTGGTTACCCCACATCACCTCTTTTTAGGCAACAAGGGGTCAGGGCTTAGTCCCCTCTACTAATGTTACCTGTAAATCCGGTCAAGAAAAATGCTGTAATCAAATTTTTTTACGCAATGTTCGTGGATTAATCTGTAACCACGGGAACCAAAGTTCGGTAAGCCAAGCTCGGTTAAAAGACGCGCCATTACCAGTGCACAAATCGGATGGGGGGAATCCCAGGAAGTGGAATTTTTATTTGCGACCTGGGTGTTAGCGTGGGATTTTTAGGAGTTGAGGCGTTAAGCCAACGAGAGACTGCTTTGTCTGCGACAATAACGTTCGAGGTTGCCCCGGGGGAGAGGACTGCACATTGGGGGAGATAAATTATTTACCATAAAATGTGTGAGGTCATCGACACCTCTCCACAATGCAGCACCCGCATGTGAACGCTTAGGCTAATGTCTAGCCTGTCACGTGACTATGGGGCTTCACGTGATTGGCGCTGGCTTGTAATTGGTTGGCAAGCGCAACCCACACGCCACCTTATCCAATGGCTAGCGAGTGCTACTCATCGTGTGCGCGTGCGCAGCTGACAAATGCCGGTCGTGCCGCAATAGCAGGGTTTATTTGCGTCCGCATACGCGAGCGGCCGGTTTGCGCGTTTGTATCCTGCTCTCTGTTTCTCTCTCGCTCTCGCTCTCTCTCTCTCTCATTCGTGTTTGGATTTCTGCCATTTTTGGTAAAGCACTGTGTGCCCCTGGGCCAGTAATCGACTCAAATCGATGATCTGCGTTTCAAGCCGACAATCTGATGGTAGCCTCGGTAACATTCCCTAAAGACACTACCAAACCAGGATTAGATACGGCGAATGCAAAAGACCAGCGTTGTCATCAATCAGTACTTAAGCGTGGATGCTCTTCTATACCTGAAAAAGGGAGTATCGGTGACCCCTTAATGAAGCCCGCCTGCTGTTCCCTTCCAGTTAAATACCCTCGCAATAACCAGGCCTCCCCGCCCCTCTTCAATTACCAGAATCTGAACGTCTACGTTGTTGGGAATGTCGGGCATCCAAGGGCTCAAATCGTTCGTGTTGTACATATTTCCGACACCCGGGGTGTTAGTGATTACTACGCAAATGGGTTACCAAATGGCCATATTCTCATTCACTCGGGTGATTTTCTAGACGGTCCACCAGTGCGATGCCGGACGCCGCATCGCAAGGACCACTTCAGATGGCTACGCACCGACGGGAATGTCGCCTCAACTTCTGCTTCTTCTCCTCCCTCCGACGATTGCGCCTGGAAGACAAAGCTCCAAGCTATCAACGCGTTTTTCCAGCACCAGCCCCACCCCTACAAAATCTTCGTTTCCGGCTGTTGGGATTACCTAGGACCGGAGCGACCTTCAGCGGCCCAAATCCAAGAATACCTCCCTTCAGCTATCTACCTGGAGGATGCTGGTTGTGAGATTCTTGGACTCAAAGTCTATGGGATTCCGTGGACCTCCGCTGACGATCTTCGACCTGAGGACGGAAAGTCACACTTCACCTCATCGACGGGGACAGCAAAAATGAAAGCCATGCTGCCTCGGTGGCTGTTCTCCTCCGCGTCCTGGTCCCACCGCATTCGACAGAAAAAAAGACAACGGTGCCTGTCTTCTTGCACCAGGGTGACAGCAGAGGAAGGCGTAGAGAACAAGAGTTTGGGTGAGAGACATTGCTGGCCGGCTTACCCGAGTTCCGATGCAATAAGTGGCAGTGTGTCTTCAGCCAATTGTGGAGAACACTGCGACTCCCAATCGGAGTCCATTTCCGCTCTGTGTGATGGTTTTGTCCTGCCGGATATCAAAGCGGTTGGCGAGCGCTACGCCCGGGTACCCCCGGATACTAACATTATTGTCTCTCACATGCCCGCCTGGAGACCTGAGCTCTACACTCACGTGGTCGAACGAATTCAGTAAGTCGGGCAGTGCCAATAGCACGCTTTTTTCTCGAGTATGAGTCAGTACAATGTGCCGGTGTAGCGTCGGGCCAAATGCGTTATCTTTGAGGCTAGGTGTTAATATGCATGATTCATCCCCCACACTTCGTGCCCCAGCCTTTTTGGCGTTTCCGCTTTCGCCAAAAATCAGGGGTGTTGTGTTGTTTGTTACTTGTGTTCCCTGTTGATAGGTAGTTATCTGGCGATGATTAATTGGGCCATGGGAGCTGCAGAATTCCCACTAACACTGTCCTAAACAGTACAGATTATTGCTGTGGTTTTCAACTGCTCTCCGTATGACAATTGTCTGATTTCCTGTGGCTACTCATACTGGGGCACTTTTTAAGCTGAGTTTATCCCACTTAGGCACCGATTAGCTTTGTAGTTATAATATAGCTATGTTTAGGAAAATGGTCATAAATATAACCTTCACTGGAATAGGCATCAGTGACTTCCGAACCCATAACGATGGGCGCTGCATTTTCACTAGTGTACCAAGGCTTCTACTCACACGGGGACCGTTGACCAAATAGTAGAAAACGTTGCTTATTTCAACACAGATTTGGTTCTAAGGGATTTTGGCAACCCCTGATTATCTCCCACGTTTACGTTGGTCAATTTATGTAACACGGGTTCGATTCCTGGCGGGAGTTAGGCCCGCGTTGAGCCGTGTAACCTCGGTCACACTCAACAACAAACGCCTTCGTCGCTGTCCCACCACGATTTTTTAACGACGCTGTATCAACAGTTGAAATCTTAAAAGTACACTGCTTTTTTAGAAGCTTGAATGAATTCCCCGTTGGTGCTCACTAGCCTGTAATGACTTCCTAACTAATGTGAAAAATTCTATTCTCAGGAGACGCTTGCAGTGCCAGTCAACTATTTTGAGATAGCAGTGACGCTATTTGAGCAGAATGTGCTCCTCGCCTGAGCCGAAGTTGCTCGTCCTGGCCCTCATTAAAGCCTGGTATTTCTAACGCCAGTTATTGTAACAATTAAGCAGTCAAATTCGTGTCTCCAGAAACCGCGAGGTAGTGGCATGTTCGGGGAAGCCATTGCACTGTTTCAACTCAATCACAGTCATGGCTTGTTTCTATCAACAATCGCCCGTTTTGTTTCACTACGTTACGTGGGAGGTTCATTCTCTAGAGTTGCGTCTTAAGGGTGTTTGCGTAATTGAGAATAAGTGCTCTCTGTTTTTGCCCTCTCCACTGATTCATGTAAGTTTTTGCTTTTAGTTGTTGACGTGTAGCCTTGCAAATTGTCCTACTTATGGGTTAGTTAATTAACTTCCACTTCCAGTTTCGGTCTTTCGTTAACGAAACTACCAGCAAGTCGGCTGTTAGGTCGATTCACGATCAGAAGATGACCAATCAATGTCAAAAACAAGGTCTTGGTGCACATTTCGAACTAGAAGTTTATAACTAGGTGGTTTTGGAATTCCTCGTTGGTCCCAAATGGAATCAGTCAAGCTCCGTATTTAGCAGGTGTTGGAAAACCATCAGATGGGTACTCAAAACTGCATTTCAGCCTCTCCATTGTAACAATAACCAGGTAATTCTTGACAAAATTACCCCTGCCAGGGTTGGGTGCCTTACAAGATGCTTACTTGCTTTTATTGGTTAATGGCTGTAATCCTTGATGCAAGTGCATCGGAAGGAAGTTGTCCTCTACATACTGACTGGGCAAATCGATGGTTTGGATTGGGAGTCTGGTTGGTTTAGGCGCCTTAGTTCGGTTATGACTTGCGTTCCAACGCCACTCCTGGTTCATGCATGTGGTAACGGAAATGCCTTCCATGGCCAGAGGCAACAAGGTCTTACGATTTTCGTAAATGTTTTTGGTTTCGTTGTTGACACCGTCAATGCACAATATTCCCGCATCATTAGCAGTCCTTAAAACACCTCATGACGGTCAAGAATATGGAATCGGTTTAATACTGTTAACCCTGCGGACAATCAGGCTATAAATTGTTCTTTTAAATAACTCTGTTGGTGCTCTCCACCCCTGTAAAAGGCATTTGATCGCGTCAATTCCTCCGAGTATAATTCCCGCAATCGTAAATGTGTTAATCATGCTTTGGTGTAATTATTTACCACTTTACGACCGTCGGAACGTTTTAGTACCATAAATTAGGTTCTTTGGACTAGCCCAAACAAGCAAACAGCTTTCTCTCGCGCTCAGTTTTCATCGATTTCGTGAACTGGATCTCGTAACCAAATCCCAGGCTTCATCGCGCCTCCACGAGCAAAACTATTGCTTTACTGAGCGTGTTTTCTAGTTTGTTTAGTCATTGATTGTAATCCGTATTTCTGTGGCTTGGATTCAACCTAGCAGTCACCTAACCACGTCTGTGACCTCACAACCCAGTATTTATACATTACAAGTTGAAACTCATGTTAAAACAGGACATAGCGGGATTTAATCAAACTGGTCTGAAAGTTGTGTGTGTGGTATGACGCTCTCACGTGCATAAAACGCTAATTTTCAAATGTACATCTAGTCGATAACCTCCTCTTTGCCTTATTAGTAAAGATTTCTCCGACTTCGACACCGTTTGTTCGCGTTTCTTACCTCTAACCGATCGGTGACCATGTAAATTGCAGCAGAGCTTTCCACTCACTAGCACCAACCAGCGTGTACTTTGTTTTGTTCCGTCTTTTTTTCTCTACGAGCCAAATTCAAATGCAGTCATCATGGGTGTTGTTGTTTTTTTTCGCCTGGTGCAGCCTAAAGGTCGCTGGGAGTTGGCTTTCCCACGTATTCGTTGGTTTGATGGATAGCCCGCTTTGGAACCACCCAGCCAAGCAGCCTAATGAATGCGGCAGCCTGATTGGAAGGTTGCTGGTGCTTTCCGATCCACCAATCGCACCTCACTACTCTCGAATTATGTGTGTGTGTGTGTACCGTTTTTTATCAGTGGCACGGTCCTGAATTTAAGATGTGCGCTTGCACTGTTGTTTACTTTAGAGAAGTTGTACGGCAACAGGGCTAGGTAACTCCTCATCTTGGGTGTTCCAACGCCAAAAATTTAAACACACACACAGAGAAAGGGAGAGAGATAGTAGAATACAAGGGGCTTGTCATTTAAACGCGCGCCGTCAATCCGCATCGTGATTTGTAAAAAAAAACAAATTCTGGTCCTGAATTACAGGTCATTTTAATCGAAGGCCGGTTTTTTCATATGGCGTCCTTCCATGTGCCTCACCTCTCAAAATCTTGATGCCAATTCGGCGATTTCGACCAAGTTTCACTTAGTCTAATGTCAGCTGATTTTTCGATGGGTATTTTCCGGAACCTTGGTAAGAGTTAACACTGTTGGAAGACGGTGGTTAAGTAAATTATGCCTTGGAAAGTCCGCGGATGCATTTACATCGTTCGACTCGCTGAGACGGTATTGCTACAAAAGTTGTGTAGACAAGATGTAGCTTGGCACCATTTACGTGAGGTGCTTCCTCCGTAAATACAAACATTTTGGGGAAAAAATTGCATGAAGATTTTTCCGGCTGCAGTTTCAGTTAAAGCAATTGGTCTTTCTCACAGTCGTCACCCTTAGTTACTAGTACGGCCACTTTTAGCTACTCTCTGCTGTCTTGAGTACCTTAATTTGTAAAAAAATTGGTCGTTGAACTCTTGTGCCTTGCGTCATTTTACCTAATTCCGCATCCCTCAGGCGTGTTGTTGTCGCTAGTGATTCTCAAAGGTGACTCATGTGGATGGGTAAGTGGATAGCACGAGAATTAGATAAAAATTGTTTCTCTGACTCATGGGTGTGAAGCTCAAGTGAACGGCTTAGTCAGGATGAGGCTGATTGGCTCCCCGTGTTTGCCTTGTCCCAGCACTGAGGGCAAGTCGATGTTGGTGCGGAGTTGGCTGATAATCGTGCGTGAATGCCTACCTCTATCACCTGCGCTTACCCAGCAATCAAACTCCCTAACTTGAAAGACATAACATACGAATTAACTGTCTTAGTGGGGTCAACTGTGTGTGTAAGCAGGCAGTGGAGGCGCACCTCTTTTGGAACTCAGTGTCTGTCGACGCGGTTTTTTTTTCGATAAACAGGACCGTTTTGTAGCACGAACTCTGTCTTCTGTTGAGTGCCTTGTAGTGGTATTGTGTGAAACCGATCGGCTGCAGCATTCCCTCAAAAGACTCGTACATTAACCACCGAGTTGAGCATATTTCTCTAACGCCAAGCGCTTGATAACGAAAACGTCAGCCAAGTTCCAATGCACTTTTACCGCGCGTAGTCGTTCTTCGTCCACCGAAGTCACCAGCCAATTGGAGCTGGCTGAAAATCAAAAAGACCTAAACAGTGCATCCCATAAATTTAGGCAACCAAAAAATGTGTTTCATATTACTAGGTGTGTGCGTGTGTGTGTTGTATGTGTAAAAGCTAGCCCGACAGCCTACTGTCGTCACTTGCTTCATTCGTTGCCGCAGTTTTAAAATTAGAACTTTCGATGGTACATTGTGGCACAAAACCCCTTTCTAGGAGTTGGGTATTCTCATGTAATACACCAAGAGGTTCTTGGGAATGTCTTAATTTTTGTGTGAATGACACAGAAGAACTCTTACTCAAGGCTCCATCCAACTGACTGGATTTTAACAAAGCTGCGAGTAATGTTGGGTCCTTGTTGTTGATTTCTACATCAGGAACAAACTAGGATCCTAATCTTCGTCGTTCTAAGTCTTGAGTTACCCAATCATTGGACAAAATTGACTGAGATCCAGATTTCGACCAGTGGGTCACTAAATCCGGACAGTTAGTGTAGGTCATACAGTCGTGAAGGCTGCTAGAACTGTTGATATCTTGTGAGTGGTCAAGTGGAACACGAAATCCGTGAATAACTTGTTTTATTGTCTCACATATTTGTCCTTGTTGGCCTTCCCCACCGCAATTTTTCACTTGTGGTATTTTCGTAATCCTCGACTTCCGCTCACTAGTGATCAGGGTAGGAAGCAGTGTGTACGAAGAGGTGCTTCAGCGGAAATCTCTTCAATTAGACCTGTCAGTTGTTGGTGAGTGGATTGAACGAACGTGGCGGACAGGCATTTCACTCCTTTTCGATTTTGATGCTTAGTGATTTCATCGAACCGTCCCCGTGCGTGGACAGACACCTTCCTATCTTGCTTCAGCGTTTTCGGTTCATGTAACCTGCTCTAACCATGGTATAGCCACATGAATCGACCCACCCACTTGTTTAAATGTTGCTTTAAATTGTCAGGGATCACAACTCCACCAAGACTCCAACCTGTGGTGTGTTTCAAAATGAAGAGTGAGCGAACGAGACCAGCAGCGTTTATCGTTTAAAACAGCTAGAAGCCAAGTTAGCGAAATATTACCTAAAACTGCGCCTGTGCACCACAGCCGTTGACTGCCAGATTCCTGTTTAACCGTGTTCTTGGTGAACCCAAAGTGTTTCTCAATGAGTTAACCTGCATGCATTTTCGACGATTTTTTTGGCTTGCTGGGTGTGGTGTGACTGTTGTTGCGTTTGTGCGTGCGTGACTACTGAAAACTTGCCATTTCGTTCAGTTTTCTTGCTACCAATGCATACCTGTCAAGTGCTTTAATGAGGCCCGTCAGATGCCTACTGTCTTCCTTGGTTTTAAATTACGCAATTCTTCGCCAAAATTACAACATGCCCTTTGTCTGATCTTAATTTGAGTCTTGTCTATTGGCTGTGTCCAGAACTTGGTATCTGTACATTTTATACCGGGAGTGCTATCGTTGCGGTAACGTCGTGGAACAGTCGTTAGAAATGGTGGTTGTAGTGCTGCTATCAACGACCGTGTTTGTTGATCCCCAACCCAATCCTAATGGTAGAGTAAACGTGTTTATTAACTGTCTTCCGGGCGTATAACCGCTTAGTGATGCAGTTATATGAGGCTGCGCCTTGCAGCCGAGTGCTAGTGAGACGCGTTGGTACTCGTTGTCAACCCTGCCATGGGAACCGACTTTTTACCAACCCTAGTTTTTCAACTCCGACTATGCATTTTGCTCAAACCACGTGACAAACATTACTCTTGCGTTGATGCGGTATGCAGCCGGGAGGTCACAGTGCTGGGGAGATACAAAAAGGCGGTTTTCCAACATGGAAGTCGTTGTCCTGTGTACAAATACCGCTCAATACCTGTTTCCTGTGCAGTTTGTTACGGAGGAAGGCACAGGCCCGTTTGATCCTAGACCGTAGCCTAGTCGAACCAATAGACTAAACCACCAACCATGTGGCTCGTGCACACTGCGCGTAGGTTTCTAATTACCCCACTCATCGCGCGGCTGTCCATGTGACCCCTTCCAGCCCCCCCTCCCCCCGACTAACATCCCAGCGGCGTCCGGTCGTGGGGTGCGCGCGGCTGTCCGCCGGATTGTCGTTCCCCGTTCAGTCGGCGCCTTTTCAAGTGCATGAATGTAAATCAGCGTTTCACCAGTTCCTGCGTCTACCGTCGCCCACACAATCAAGACGCGGATACTTAAAACGATGGTTTTTGATAACAATGGATTGACGCTTGCGCGATAAAAACCAGTGGCATTTGGGTGGTGTTTTGTAAGGCTGTCAACACGAGGCTTTTGCTCGATGCAAGCAATGTGGTGCGAAAATAATGTAGAAAAGAATGCTTTTAACAAGGCCTCGAAAATCATGCTCAGAAAGTAGCCAAACCGTCTATATTGTGTGTACACTTCGCTGCCTAGTTTATCGGATCACAAGCATCACCGTGAGTAGGATTGTCGTGTCTCCGACCGTTTTCGATTATCCTATTGGCTCCTATCAAAAAGGTGTATTCCTGTCACCCTTTTTTTAAAAATATAATCGAAATTTGTCCTTGACAAACGTTGGTTCGAAGTGCTCTCTGTTACCCCCTGCGACCCCTTCCTGCCGTGATTTGAGCTCGATGGTCTGGGTTCCTTTACATTGATCTTTTTCCACTTTTCTCTATCTTGTCTTTCGAAATGCAGTAGCTGTACTTGAAGGTAGTGGTTGCCAATTCACTCCGTCAGGTAATTGGATGTCGTAGAAAAGCCTCACAGCGAACTGGTCCATTCGGAATGAGTTAAATCGGTGTTCGACAAACCGGTCAAACTAACCATGGGGCAATGGAAATTGGCCAACTGGACACGACTGTTGAGAAGCGGTTTTTTGTACACTCTAAGAAATTGGTTCCGCTTGGATACACACGCACACACCTCAAACAAGGCTGCTTTTTGGTAACAAGTGAATTGTGGGGTTGTTGTAGTCGATCCTCAAGATGTGCGCGTGTGTTTGGTCACCACAAGGGAAAATTCGACCATGTGACCAACTCCACTGTGAACTGACTAGAATACCTTTCAACTCCAGTCGTCCTGGTCCGCTTCTGACGATCCTACGAAAGACGAAGCTGTGCGTGCGTGACATGCGTTCTTTTGCGTAGTGATTCAACGAAAGTAATCTGCTAGCGCTGTTGTCGACACGCATGAAGGCGGTTTTATTGTAACGCACAAACTATAGTACGGTTTGTCTTCGGCGAGTCTGTTTTATGTCAAGCAATGCCTTTAACTACCACCACATGTTTAGAGCTGTTTTTGCCAGTTATTGCGTGGGGACTACTGCTCCGAGGTCCAAGATATCGCGGGATTCTGATATGCCACGGGGTGGTAACGATAACCCCATTGCTCAACGGCAATATGTGATCGCTTTACTATCGCTTGTCTTAATTACCAAACCATTCGAGACCCAATGTCGATTGGAGGTAATGGGATCATGAAACGTGAGCTCATTTCGTGTGCCCTTGACACGGCAAAAACAGGAACTTAGATATGTCAAAAGTGCAATTATTGGGTCAACTTGCACTTGTAGTGATTACTGACCACATCGTGATTACGGTGAGGTTGATGTGAGACCCTGGAAATCCCTACACCAAGTGGAATGGTGGGGACGAAACTGCGTGCCGGTTAACGAGCTGATTTTTGTATGAATTGTATAGTGGGTGCATAATATAAGCTATAAATGATTAGTTTCGATAATTCTGCACGAAATACCCTAATTTGTTGACATAGAGACCACCAATTGATGGAGCGGACGCTTTCCACGTTGGGTGAGTGTCCACCAACAATCTGTCGTGCACACACGAACTATTCCATGTTGGTTTTATAGACAGTGCCTTCTTATCTCTGGTGATTTAAGATGTGGTGATGCTTTTGTTACCATACGTAAAACCCTAGGAGAACAAGAAGACCAAAAGCGATTGGGACTCGATTGTTTATTGGCTAACAGGCAAGGGGATTTACGGGTGCACGAAGACCAAAGGTGTGGAGTCACTGTAGATGATGGCAATGATGATGAGGAGAGTGGGTGTGAAAGCTTGAGGATCAGGTGTCGTGGCGAGTTTTATTGGTCCGACGACTGTCACCATAATACTCTCCTGTAGAGGAATCTTGAGACTTGAATTGTGGTGCAGGTGCCGTGGTGAGAATGCCTCCACTTCGAATGTTGCCTATTCGTTACGCGATAGCTACTCTCAAGTAGTCGTGATTTGCATAAATTTTAAGCAACGTGTGGTAACGCGAGGACTACGTCCGAAACAGTGTGCCGCACGATCGGTAGATGCCTAGTTTAAAAAGGCCCTGCACCAACGCGACCCAATCCATTCGTTTCCCGTGAATTAGCTTGTGTTATGTTTGTGGCAACTTCGAAATTGGGACTGTTTACGCTAAATGAATGTCGTTTGAGCCATCTGCTTTGATTTTCATGCGCATGAATACTACAGACGAAAACTAGACATTTTTCGGTGGAGAGTTTGGATTATATGTGACATCGCAAGCTGAATTCGATCGGGTAGATCAGGCGATTAACCCGGTAATTTCTGTTGCACCACCGTGGTGACAGATCAAAGATGTATTCAACTAAACACAAGAAGTTTATACGTAATCAGCCGCAGCGACACGCCTAGTTTGAACACAGGTAGCGGATTTCCAAAGGAGACACCCGAAGACCAAACAACGAGATGCAAAAGATCGTCGTTTGCATGGCGTACACAACTTTCCCAAATTCACTAACCACGCGGTTCGGTTGGTTAATTCTGGTTGGATTTCCCATAGTGTGTGCCTTTGCAGGCACGTGCGCGCGCACGCGCGTCCGTGTAAACTTGATCCCACACGGCATTCGCCGTTAATCCTTGAAACTCTCTACTCCAGGCCCTACTTGCACCTCTGTGGCCACGACTTCACCGGGTACGGAGTTACTTGGCGTCGAGGGGTTGTGTTCAGCAACGCAGCAGTCCAACTCACCTCCAGTTATCCCCGCGTTCTGCCTCAAAGCACCTTTCCTCGTCGACGGAAGGCCTACTCGTCCACCTTCTCCACAGGCTGTCCATCAGGGGGGGACCTGTTTGCAGGGACGTCGGCGCCCTCGAAGGTTACAGAACACAGCCCGGGCGTGGGGGTTACCACGCTCCCCTCGCGAATCCCTCAACTCACGTCGTGTGGGGTGCGTCCGAGGCGCTGGCGTCGGCGACTGTCGTGCATCCTCGGTCGACTCTCGCTTCTCGTCAGTACTCACTCCCTTGCCGATGATGGCCCTCCCCACTCCGCATCGTCGACTTGTCGCCGGGGCGGAGGCAGCAACCGAATCGACCCAATCCCCAGTTCCCTGGCTGCTCTGAGCGTAGGCGAAGGTGACTTCGTGGTGGACCCCACACTTAGCATATCCGGTGTCACAGGGACTGGCCATGTGGGTCGTAGGAACCCGCTGGTTTTCGATGTCTATGTTGTGATCGAGGAGGGCGTGAATGATCGTGTGATCCTCCCAGACTACACAAAGTGCGCCAGCCGACGAACCGCAGCCCCAAACCACCGAAAAGCCCACACACTCCGCCGAAACACGACGTGTTCCCTGCAGTAGCGATGTGATTTACCACCATCCTCTTACGTCATTGATCTGCATTTAGTCATGGCTACCCAACCACTCACCTCCGCCCCTCAAACTAATCTTAACCAGCCTTTTCTTGCCTACATTTTACAGGGTCTTGATTCGACACAAGAGACAACTCTTACCTATCTATAAGTAATCAGTACCGAACACTCATAACTATGCGCAAACCCGATGCCAGACAACCGACAGGGATTTTCTTATTATCAGTATTACATCCATTGTTATAACTTCCAAGGTTACCACTATGTACTACGGTATAATTTTTTTAATTTTACAATTAATAACCTCGCGTAAATATGGTACCTACAAAATGCTTCCTTCTCAACAAAAACGAGGCCCTATTTAGGTAGTTTGATTTGATTGAGTCACCGTCTCGGCGATAGTGGTGGTGGTTTTTTGTCACGTCCCCTTCAAGTAGGGGATTTCGGGGAATTCCAATGTGTGGGGTGTTAGCAGTCTCCGGGTTGGCTGTCCACAGAGCCATGTGCTACCTGGTTTCGTTGTCCCTAGGCCAATCACGTGACACTGTTTGTGTAGTGCGGATAAGCAGGAAATGCGGGGGCGCTGTTCTCACTCTTTTTACGCAGAAGTCGTCTGCTTTACCGAGCACGGACACAGGATTAAACGCGTTTTCAGCGTCGGAGGGTAGAGTTTGAACTTGGAGGAGTCGTCGCCACGTGCGCGTTTTGATTGGTCAACGGGCGCGCTGCAACGTCCAATGGCCGCCCGCGGTTTCTGTGTAATGGCCGTAGTTACCTTGCCGACATTCCTGATACGCTTTGATGATTACTACCGACTTGAAAGTCACCTCAGTAAGCAGCGGTGAGAAGCTGGAGGGGCAGACGGGGGAAATAACAGTCCAAATTCTTACACTAGGAGTCACAGGTGGGGTGTTGGTTTACACGCAGTCCCAGTCACGAGGTGAGGGGAAAAACGCCACGAGTTTAATCCCACGCCTACGCGGAAGCGGTCGAAAAGTTGGCGTTAATCTTTGCGCCCAAGAAGGCCTCTTTTTGACGGGGGAAAAAATTTGCTCAGCGAAAAACAAGTGCCTTTTCGCCTGATAGATGGACGCAAGTGTCTTCGCATACGTAGGCCTTAGTTTGAAACTCAAAATAATCACGTATGCGGCTGTGGGGACGCGAATGGTTTGTTTGGAAACGTCTCCAGCGCAAAAGCCCATTGGCTGTGGTGCCTTTAAGTCATTCTCCGAATTTAAAGATGGGGCCTTCACGACAAAAGAGGTACTGATAGATCGGAGTAGGCTTAGCGAATGTGACTAGCTGCCTTCAGCAAGGAATGTTCACGCTGACAACTTGGGCACCTAACCTAACCAACGCCATCAGCCAGAGGAGTCCAAACACCCATGCCATTCTGACAGATCACTGGGCCATTGGCTGGGACAGGTCTTTGTCCTGAACTGGGAAGGTGGGGTGCGGCTAATCGGAGCGTACGGTTCTGGTTACGGGCAAAATGCAACACAACTCAACGCCGAACGGTATCTGCTACTACAGTTGGCCTAGTCAGTTTGTGAGCTGTTTTCGCGACAAAACGCCTTAAAAGACGAGACCCCTACCGCTGGTGAGGACCTAGTTCTACAGAAACACTTCGGGCAAAGAAGAAAATTGTCTTTTTTCCGGAAGAAACAGAGTCAATTAGGCTTGATTGCGATGAGGGACTTACACAGGCTACTATTTCCGTGGACGCAAGAATAAATGCTGCCGCTGTTTCGTTAATGAGGAGTTAATCGTGCATGAAGGCAATCCTGATACGGGCAATGATCCACCAAACATCTGACGTAAAAACGTCTTGAAATATCGCTTCATTTACCGCATTAGCTACCACGCAGCAGGTAATTCGCCCAATTGCCCAGAATTTACGAAAAAATGTAGTTCTATTTCAAATTTGCAAATATTCGGCAATGTTTCAAACAGAAGAACGCAAAATGCCATTGAATTTACCGATACCTACAAAATGTACAAGCTCCTTACGCATTTTTTATTAAAAGCAACAAGAACCAAATCTCCCACTGCCTTGCGAACAGCAACGTAACTACGTTGGATTTAACGTAATGGACAGGTCTTCCTGCGTTACCTGCATTCCATTCACGAAGCAAAGGCGCTGGAATACGCGAATGTGTCATCGATGTTGGCATTTAAATTAGGCGTCAGCAACATTACGGACCCCTTTTCGATGCAGTGAAGTACGATGCATTTTGGCTTAGTCACACGTTAAACCAGTTGCATTCACAGCAGCATCTGGTTGTCTTGACGAGTACAAGGTAAGGCCTGCGCAGGTTGTCGCGGCTCCACCACCCTACTGACATAGAGATTTCCATGGTCCAGTCACACAAATGCAGTTGCGCGCCCAAGTGGTACACTAGGCCTAAGTTGAACGCCTGCACAGTGGACAGAGCGCTGAGCGTTGAGTTGCTTCGGGCCACCTCTTCGCCGCCACCACCACCACTGCTTCATCTGCGACAACGACTAGTAAAGTTGTCAGCCAAATCTGACAAACACAATCCGGCTTTGCCTTAACACCAGGATGTGGTGTGGGTTGGAATTAAACGCAAAAAACTACACAACACACAGTCCATACTCTGTACAATCAGTAGGTAATGTTGGACCCATTTACCGGATTACCCCAGCCTCCAGTTTAACCCCTTGATCTAATGCATGCAGTTGCTTGCAACGCCACCGAATTAGGCACAAACGACATTCCCAGAAGTTGAAAAAGAAGATGGCTAAGCGTTTAATCAAATTCACCTGAATTTTGCCTGTGAACCGGCAACACCATGACCGGGTCCTACGTAAATACAAACTTCCTAACAACAATACCTTACTCCTCAACCGGAGTGGGTTTCTTGGCCGAGATTTTGACGAATTTGTTTCGCTTCGTCTCCGCCAGGAGCCTCCTGTCAAGCTCGAAGTCGTACTCGAATGTGGGCGTCTTGTCAATTATCTCACCGTCCGGCGCCTCGTATTGGCCGGCGATGCGCGGAGGAGGAGTGGCGTAGGGTCCGCTTGTGTGGAGGTGCAGTGCCTCCGAGGCGGTGGGCTTTATCGCGGCTGCATAGAGGTGATGCGGTGACAGCAAGGCAAGAGCTCGCAGTGCCCGCTGCTGTGCCGCGATGACGGTGCTTAGTTTTTGCTCCTCTGCCCTAGCAACGCGGCTCTGGAAACGCGCCCACTCCTTGAGTAGCAGCACGCGATTGTCTGCTTCGGTCGATGAGATCTCCTGAGGTGGACGTCGGCGTTCGCTGCCAATAAAATAAGCTTTTTTTACACAATTATCACAAACTAAAGGAGTCATTAGTGTCACTAACAGTGTTAATAGTGTCAATGAAAGGCACAACAGCGATACTTTTTTTGTCGTGAAATGCTGAGCCTTTCTTCAAAGAATCCACATTTCGCAACTGAGAGTCGGCCATCAGGAAGTAAGCAATGAGTTTTCATTCGAAAAGACGCATCGAAAATGCGATATGTTAAAATGCATAGCAATACCAAGGGAAAATTTCCAACTTTGATAAACTCACTGCTCTTCTTTCATTAGTTGTCGATCACCTTCAATTTCCTCTACAGGTTTAAGCTTCTTGCCCTGTTTAGTAAGGCGCTTTATCTCCTTTTCAATGCGCCTTGTTTTCCGGCGAATTCTATTCTGTTCTTGCTGGGGGTCTACGCGCTTTTTTCGTTTCATAGGCTCAGCACTACAAGCAGACATCATTATTGACAAAACGAATTACCAGAGAACACTTCCTGTGTGAAGACACCGCAGGCTTTCAACAAGCACAAATTCAGCCGACTTGAACGGAGTTAGGATCTTGGCGACAAAACTAGCCATTAATCCTAAAAAAATGCAGAGAAGGGTAGTGTATAAATAAAGGATCCGCTACATGCAATTAGGCATTCTGCAATGTAAAATCTTAAGTAAAAGTGGCACCAAAGGCGTATGACAGTCTGCGCTGAGGCATAGGGAGTTCCGTGTCATCGAGGGTGACAAAACAAGAGATGCTTCGATGAGAACCAAACATTCCTTAAAGAACAGGAGAAACCTCACGAGAGCAGCAGTTGGTGACATATAAAAGCGGTGATAGTGCAATACCACACGTGAAGCGATAGCATTTTTCAATAATGTGCCTCTGTAGTCAGAAAATATTTCCGGAATTGAATGGCACCAGCCCACTCATTAGTTTTAGACCGTGAAAGTGCAAAAAACGGGATAGCTTAAATAATCTTATACTAAAAGAGACACTAAAATCTGGTTTAATCATGGTAGATGGACAAGATACATCAGTCTAAAATAACACCAACTGGGGTGCAGGAGAATAAAGAAGAACGGGACAGTGTTAAGCAACAATTACTTTTGTACACTAAAGAGAGAATTCAGTGTTTTTTGGATTTAATTTTCAGATAAAATTCACGAAATCACGCTAAGAGCCTTAGAGACAAAAACTGTTTGAACGAATTTCAAGGTAAACTGTTCATAGTCGCCGATCAAATAATCCAGCGAACAACTTTCCAACGTGAAATCTGTTTAGCAAGAATAGGCCAGAATGAAGGTGTAAAATCAAATGGCAGTGCCCTTATAAAGGATTAGGACAAATAGCCAGATTCGAATGTCTTTTTAACTAGCACAATATGGCTAAACTCTAGAGATCCAACTACATCAGCTATTTAGAGGCTTACTGCATGTTTACTTGTTAAAATGCCTCGAAAGCGTAATCCGTAAAATAAGCTCAAAAAATTGGACAGACCAACCTCTTATTATTCTAAGACTAAATGCAGCACCGCTAAGAATAGGGTCATTTCTGCTATATTACAACCTTATAGCTGATCTGAAATCAACGACTTAATTATCTTAACATTAGAATAATAAACACCCTTATAGTTCAAAGCACAGAGCAGATAGGCTGAACAAAATCAGCGACAGCACTTCAGAGTACGCGCGTTCAACAAGTGGAATGCTAAAACGTTAACAGGCGACCCATTTGTGAAATGCCTTTTCATGCAGTTGCACACGAATAAAAATAGCTGCTAATGCCTTTATTCATCACGTATAGAAAGTTCAAGCATTCACTTTTACGTTCTTCGCAAACAAAAGGCATAAATACGAAATCTGTATTGAAGCTCTTCATTTTCACTCCACTTAAAATTTATTTTATAATCTAAGCCATTTTTAATTTGTCATCTTCCTATCTTTTTGGTTAAACAAGCATAAAATTGAATTTGATTTGGTTTCAAAATGATAATTTTGGGACGAGAGGAAGAGCACTTTTAACCACCAAAGATAGAAGTAAAATGACGTTCCAAATAATTGGTGGCAAAACTATCGGTTAAAAACAAACGTGCTTGAAATTTTGCAAAACCTAACTTTTTACTTGTACTGAAAGCCTCACTTAATGACTTCAGAAGTTATGGAAGTAAACATGCAAAAAATGGAAGGTCGGCGAGTTATTAAACAAAGCTTTCTTCAAAAAATTCTAGTGCCACTGTTGTTTCTTAAATAAATAAAAAATTTAAGCAGAGAGATTAATCCAATTTTATCTTAAGCAAAGAATAACGAAAACACCATTTAGACACCAAATGTGTAAACAATGGTGGACTTCATCTATTCAAGCAAAAAATGCTTACTTAGAAATTGCAGAGAAAAACTCCTTGAAAACGTGGCTACAACCTAATGAATTTTATTTACATACATAATGGTGAATGTTTGCGTAAAAAGTTTTTCTGAGGTCATTTTTAGGCGACGAATCAAGTACTGTTTCAATAATCATTGGCATTTATTCATTATGGGTGCAAGTGTTAGCAATCTGTCGGACCTTGCAACCAATCCGTATCTTATAAAACTTGTTGGCCAAGAAAGTGTTCATGTTAGTAGCGAGTATTGGAATCGTCTGCTATCTTTTGATTTGCAAACACCTCTCACAAAGTAGGCAGATTTTGCTGATATGTTCTTATTTGCACAGTGAAGCGTCCTTTTACCTGGAGGCTGCTGTATCGAGCCTTCAACAGCGTTTCTATAGAAATGATCTGAGAACTCATAATCTAGCAACTCTATTGCAACGGTTTATTGTTAAAGCTACCAGCGTTTTGGGTAGCATTAAAATGGGTGAGGAAATGTAGGTCTTCTCCCACTATTTATCCTTTAAGTACTCCTTCGGACATTAAAATGGCGAAGAATTCTCTTCTTATATTTCGTATCTTTACAAAATATATACTGGAGAATCGGTCTAGCCATTGCATGAACCTGTATTTCACGGATATCAACTCAAAAGGTATTGAAAGCGTTGTTGATATATTGTTTTAGCGTCAAATTCCACGTCACTTGCAGAGTATACAGTGCATCTTCTGTTATTGCTGGTCATTGAAGTCAAGCCGAGGTAACGTAATGAGTTTCATATCACCAATGTTGTTTTTAGTGAAGAAACGTACGGATTACTTTATGAAGCAATATCATCTCTACTTGTCCTTTTATCAGCTCAGGTCGTCGGCTATGGCGGGGACGAAGTACCGACCACTTGCAAGTGCTTCACTTCAAGGAAATGGTGTGTTTTAGTCGTATTCCTTTTGACATGCAAATGCCTAGTGCGGTGTTTTCACAGTTAGGCCGAGATTCGGGCTAAAATATTCTTTTCTTCATTTACATTCCAGTTCAGCGGATGCCCCAGCATTTGTGCGTAGACTGTTGCTTAACATAGCTGAGAACCAACCCTGCCCTCCCAGCATGCTCACAGACAATCAAAGGCCTGGAATGCTCTGGAATGCTGCTTCGACAATTGCAAGTAAGTCTAAATGACGTTGCTACCTTTTTGAATGAAGATATTGTTGTGTGATGTCACGTAGTTTGTAGTGGACTGGTGATGTATTAGTCTCTTCCATCAGCGTAGTATGTTGTTTCAACTAATTCGTTTGCTGGCCGCAAAGTGTGCCGCAGGTCGAGCTACCTGGTGTAACTGAGGGCTTACCATAATGAAAACAGTTATTTTCTTCCCGTCTACGGTCATATTCCTGTTGAAGTTTTTATATGTTTTACCGAACGCCAGTTTCGTCTGGATGAGTGGATTCTGCAGTCTTAAGTTCCATGGTTTGTGCCCCCGAAGTTCGCTACGGAAAAGGATGTGCCTTAGATAACCAGTCAATGTTTTTTCTTTGACCAGGAACTGTGCTAAGAAGGTGAAAGTTAGTAGAAGTTGTTAGCACTTTTTTGTTACTCTTCAATGTCTTATTTACGGCAGTTATGCTACTTAAATGATTTCAAATAGTAACATTAAGGAGTAAATTATGTTGTCCTCAGCTTGGGTGTTTCTTTCATGCCATCTTGAATTATTAGTTTCTCAAGTAACCAAGTTGTTACAAGTGAACGCCTTCCTGATTCCTGAGTTATCGCTAAAGTTGATTTTTAATAAGTTTGAATGAAGCAGTGCAAGTGCATGTCGGGATCTGCACTACTGGTGGGAACGTTTATTTCGTTTCCATTGAGTCTTCATCCTGTGGAAGTCGCGATTCCCCATCTCCAAACCCCCCAGACTGCTGTCCGGGGCGCGGCTGGTCACCAAGCTCGAAATCACCACGGCTTCAACGTTTCTACCAATAATTAAACGTTTCATAGGACACGATACCGGTAACACGAACACCGCGAATTGATTCCCCCTGTGCTTTAGACGCATTTTTACCTTGTTGGAGTTTGTATGAAATGCAGCGCCACCTAATGTGTTGTTTATCAGTTGCCATCGTCGTAAACTATTCTGTTCTGAGAGGTTGTGTAACTGAGGTACGTAGGCTCGTCGTTCGGTATTCTGGAGAACCTTACACCCGATCCTTTCAAAACCACAAACGATCGCGAAAATAGTTCAATTTCAAACATAAATCGAATCTCGAAGAAAAATAGGGGATAGGTACACAGTCTATTGGTCTAGCGCGACGGCACTTTATGCGATTCTCTACCAGGTGGCTTGATGTCAGTCGTCACACTCGGCTACTCGAGGCGTTCCTCCAGCACAAAATCGGATCCAACGGATTCGGATGGCTTTGGTGACGGAGTTCTTCACCCTCTGGCCAAACAGAGCTGCCATCTTCTCCTTGTCCTCACCACACAATCAACCGGTGTGATATCTGTGGCCACGTCAGTTGACAGTGACAACGAGGGCGCCGCCGATCCCATGATAGCTGTCACTTCAAGGAGCATCTTCCGTGATCTCGGGTCCAATCCCTACCGAGAGGCATTGTTTGCCCTCACGCCTTGTGGTAAGGTGCATTCTTGCTTTTTTGCGAGCTCTTTGTGATTGCAGCTAGCATGCAATCTCGAGAGTGCACGTCTTGTTCAGTGCCCTAATAACAGTCTTTTTATTGGATAATTCGATTACACGAGCTCCTAGTATGCAATTTATCATAAACCTGACACAAAGCCTTTCAGTGCTCGGTTGCGTTTAACCAATCAAATCGGTATCTCTAAACTCAGTGACCTTGACTATGTCGCGTGTGGCTAGCGTGTTGCCTATCGCATCACGCCCACTATGACCGTGGTCACCTGGCACAACCGGAAGCTTTTGTTACACTGTTACTTCGTGTTTTTTATGTGTTTGTCACGCTTTATACCGTATCACTTTGATGTTGTTGCCTTGGGAACACTAGAGTGAGTGGAGATTGTCTGGTGCCGATTAGAGTAAACCTCCACTAAAACAGTCGGATGAGAGTCTTGTGTTAACTCTTAACGTCCGTAACTAGTCTTCGCTGAGGTAACACAGCCCATCCGTTCAATGCCATTTCGCTTCGTAGACGACGCGGAGCTGAACGGCGACAAAGTGAAGGATTTGGAGGCGGGTCTGGGTGGTGGTGGTGATAGCGATGCCCTCAGCGTTCCCTTCAACCGAGTCACTGAAACCCTGGCGTCTACCGTGAACACCGACAGTTCTGTTTTGTTGCTCTACCTTCTCCTTCATCGCAATGACTCCCTTCGCGCCTACGTCATGGGCAATCGACTCTACGAAAAATTCGTGAGTTTTGTTCGTCTATTTTCAGTATTAAACATCCACTTCCACGTGACGCTATATTGGGTCGTCAGTTACACGAAATATATGATTCCAATTGTTAGTCTGGCTTTGTTCTCGCTGTTTCACCGCGTTGAAGTCGACCTACGTTAGTTTCAGCTGCTCTGGGAGCAGTTCGGTATTATTTTAGTGACGTGTGATCATCACTGATTGGCTTGCGCGAACAGGGTCACTCTGAGCCAAGTGTCTTACTAACCTCTCCAAGCTACCACACGTGGCTTCAACCAGCCTCTCTACCTGTTAGGTTATTGTGTTTTAAAAAGCATAAGAGACTGCCTCTCCGATGCAACAATTGTCCATCTAGGGACTTCTAGGTGTTGTTTAATGTTCGAAGTCGTCTCGATTCTTCCACTCAGAACTTATTCGTGCCAGTTTTTTTTGCATTTTTCCAACATCTAATTAGCAGTTGTTGCTTGCTCCCCCGTCTTGCTTCTGATTAACTGTTCGATATAACTTCCTCTGGAAGAATTTTCATTTTAAAAGTTACTCGTGTTTGATTGTTCACCTCGCATTTTGATCCAAGTGTAATGTAGTTTTTTTTTGCGTTGGCAGGCTGTCGAGCTGATTGTGTGTACAGTGCGCACCGATTAATCTCCAAGTTGACCCACCCTATCGCACAAATGTTTAGTGTCATAAGATTGCAAGCCATGTCCAGCAGACCTGGTGTTGGCAGAATGCTCTTCTACCCTTATGTGCAACACCTTTGTGGTTCCCACAGCGCCGGTGACTGCCAGCCCCCTTTTGGCTTCCGAAAGTAGCGTAGGTGTCGTGTTTACGGTTTTGTTGTAAAGAAAAAATACGAAATAATTGAGCCCTTCGGAATTATAATTGTGTTGCTCTGCCCTCACACACACACACACACCTGCCATTCATGCATCGTCTACCATGCCTTTTAGACACTTCCAATTTGTTTGATGCTGCACCAATCACCTGCCGGCAATTCGCATCTTATCTACATGGCCCTGATTGTTCTTCTGATTCTCACCGAGAATGACAAGTTCTCGAAGGACGTGCATGATATCGTGAGTTCGATCCCCACCACTCACCCAGTATTCTTTACTGACATTTTTGTGCAGCATTTTGGAAAATAACTCATGTCTGAAGCCGTCTTTGACTTACTGTCGAGGTGTTTGTCTGGTGTGGGTGCTGGAATCAGGAATCGTTTGTGCGTCAAACCTGAAGTTGCGTCTCTCGGCGTGCCACTTAGTCCGCATGTGTTGCCAGTGCTGACCCCTATTGACTCATTGTCAACATTGGTTCCGCCAATCAACGAGGCCGCGCCATTGGTTGACCTTAGATCTGTTGTCTCAACCAATCACCGTGTGCTGGATGTGCGAGGACATGCATAATGTGGACTTACGCATCCGTGTGAGGATTTGGCGTTTCTTCAGTCACGTCTTGGCATGTTTTATGTTCTCTAACCTCATGCGGGCGATTTGGTTGTCTGTGACTGATTTTAACGTAGTCAGTCGGATGATTTTTTTGCTCACAGCATACGAAAATGACTTGTTGTGGGCCCCGGGCATGTGGTCTTGAACCACGCCGGGGCCACGGAATTAACCCTGGCCTCATCACACTTGCCTAGTATCCGCAATTGAAGTAAAAGACCAGAGAGGGCGTGGACACAACCGTTTACTTCAGATTTCAACCTCGTAGGTGTCGTTGTGTCGTATGTGGTGTTTGCACGTGTGTATTTATACCTCGGGTGTGTCAGTCATACATGCGCTAACATCGAGACCTAGGTGTGGGGAGACTCCAAGATAAATATTCGTGTGAATGAGGGGGGAGTTGAGGATTCGCGCGGCTGGCAACGTGCTGCGAAACGGGGACCCTGTGTAGGAGGTGGAGCGACCGGATTAGGGGGTGTGAATAAACACGATTCACGACAGGCTGTGATTAAACTTCCACGTAAGTTGAAGTCCATGAGTGCATTCGTCGTCGTATTTGTGGCACAATTGGCGTTGAAGAATTCGACCGCAATCGGTAGCACGGTCGAAGATCCATCCAAACCGCTGTTTTTTCCACGCTGTTCGATGGAGGAGCGTCCCAAGGGTTATTTACACTCTCGATAGAAATATTTGGAGTTCAAGAGCTTTTATCTCGTTTCAGCCCTTGAAGAAACTGCCGCCGAATGTCGATCGACAAGTCGCCGGCGTCTCCTTGGGCAGCCTTCTTGTGCTAGTCCTCACCCGGACCATTCAACACCACCTCAATCAGCTACGGGTGGGTTCGCCCCCCTTTTCTTGCATATGTCCAGTTTCAATCCGTGGAAATTTCTTCACACGCACAAGCCTTTTCCCAACCACTCGAAAATGCCCGCTAACGCACACTCGTGTTGGTGGTTTTGTGGCCAGCCCAGAGGCTGATTTGCTGGGCCCCCTTGTTTCCCCAGAAATTCACTCCCAACTTTTGTCATCGCGATTTATTTTGCTACTGTTATAGGATAAGTACCTGCACATTAACAGTCTGGCGGCGTTGGCCAATCTCTCACCAAAAATTACCAACCTCCATCCCTACGTTAGCCAGGCCTTAGTGGGGTGAGTTTTTATCCTTGTTCGTGGTCCAACATTTGCACAACTCTCAAGTTCCTTGTGACTCCAACGTCGATTCAAACTTGAAGCGTTGATCAGCATCGTTGTAAGTAGTTACTGGGTAATGGCTTAGGTGACCGGTTGTAGGATATTTTTTCTGGGGCACTAGGGTGTGTAGGTTTAACCGTTTTTGGCGCGTGGAGACGTAGGCGTGTGCTGTAGTTCTTAATTTACCACCATCATTGAAAAAGCCTTGATTTCGAGTGTTGCAGGCGCATCCTAGGGTGTCGTCTGGTTTTTCTGACAGTTTTTTTTCATTCACAGCACTGGCTGATCCCAGTAGAGCCTATTGTGTATCAAGTAGTTCAAAAACAGCAGCCAGTTTGCCAAATTTCGGTAATCCTGGTGGCGTCTGCAGAATCCAGGCCCCAACCACCTGCTACTCCGATGTCATCTCGAGGAGCTAACGCGTGCTACCACGCTGCTCGCGCATTCTCATTAATTAACAAGTGCATATTCTGGAAGTACACACTCATGCAAATGACTGTTCTACTCGTTTGCGGTGTGCGAGCATGCCGTCGTAGCAGAACTCCAACGACGGTAGTTCACCAACCTTTAGTGGTCACTCAAGCCATTGCGCTGCTCCAACACTATAAGCATCTACCAATCGAAAACTGGTTACTGCTCCCCCTAAGCATCACTACACCACTCCATATCTAATTCCCATCGGAAGTATCGGCAGAATTGTAGTTCAACACATCTCTTGGTGGGTTGGTCTTGCGCACACAATGCAAATTAAGTGTCAGTCGCTTGCATTTGTGCATTACTGTTCGAATAAAGCGCGTTTTAGCTGATTGGCCAATAGTAATCCGTCTAAATCCCTCCCCCCGGCGTTGAATCAAGGTCAAATCACAAGTCCCAGACATGGGTAGTACTCGTGTACCCCAGCAACTTCCCTCGGAACTGGCGATAGCGCTGTTACTATCGTTTTCCGACCTGACTGCCTAAGAAAGCAATTAAGTTCTCGCAGAATTGTGAATCGACACACCCCTTGCACACACACAATGCACATAAATTTTCACATGTAAGCATTTTATTGGTCGAATAGCCCACGGTTCGGTTGATTGGTCGTTTCGTCGAAACATCCAATAGTGATCCACCTAGATTCTTCCCCCCTTGGCGTTGAATCAAGGTTAAATTGCAAGTCTCAAGCATGCGTAGAATACGTGTATCCAAGCAAAACACGTGAATGTTTGCTGCCATCTGTCAGAGGTCGACTGTGCTGTAGCATTAAAGCCCTTCTTAATTCGCCGGAACACGTGAAATGATGCTCTTGTGGCTCCGCTCACTTTTCTGGTGAAAGATTTGAGCGCCTTACCAACGATTTCCAGCCACTATACCCCTCATGAGTGAAGGTCATCCCTGTTGACGAATTTTCTCTGCCTACCCTAGCAGATCGTAAAATGCATTTTAGCGCAACGCTTCTTGAGTTGCATTTTGCATCCTTGGAGTTAATTTTGCTCAATTTTAAACAACCGAAAGTCGTTTTTTCTCAAATTTACAACAGTCTACCACGTGCAAAAGACAAGTGGCCCCGATAGGCCGGTAATTTTCCGGTACCGCAGCAACTAGCTCACAAGAACCCAACCCCATTGCGTCAGCTTTTTGTGTGGTTTTTTTTGGGGGGGGGGGACCCTTCTTCAAGAACCCAACCAACGACATCTTGGTTTGGTTTCTATTTAGTCTCCTTCAAAAACTCGTGAAACGCCATAAGCGACTGGTCAACGAAGTCCGCACGCTAAACGACCACTTGAGGGACGAAAAGAAAACCCCAGATTCCACCGCCTCGGCCGCTTCTCCGCCGGACGTTCGACTGAACATGATGTCCTCGTCGGACGCCTTGGTTCGTGCCTTTTTTGCGCACTTTTGTGTCCACTCGTCAAGTAGTACTGCAGTCAAGTTTTTAGGGGGAGGGGTTAGGAAGCTTCAGCGGGCAGTTGTTTAGTCATGCTTGACTCTGTTGAGACTTCGTCTTGAAGTGGCGGAATGGACTCACAACGAGGCATTCGTTACAAATTTCCAATCTCTGGCAGAACAAATAAAGGCTAGGTCCGGGGATTCGATCGTTTTCGATGCCAAACAGGAGACACTTTAGATCAACGATACTTTGAATTTAGCTCAAGGCCCATGTTTTCTCTCATCTCATTGCCCTGGGCTTTGATTGCTATTAAAACTAGCCAATTCGGTCGAGTAGATGGCTTTCAAAGGGCCTTCTTTTCACCTGAGCATCATCCCCACGTAGGGCAAAGACGGGCTCGATAACCCAGGTAATTGTTCCGGCTGACGAGCATCCACTTCTATGAAATAGCTAAGCCAGGCCCTCATACACCATCCAAACAACCTGATTGTTTAAAGAGTGATTGCGGAAGATCGTTTGCTTGAACTCCACACGCGGTTTGAGTTCCGTTTCTCGTCGTCCATGCGCCTGACCATTAAAAACTCCTTCTAGCACCAGCTATCAAGCCAACTGTGTGTCCTGTTTTGTGGAGAAATCGCACTAAGACTTCTTTTCTCGTTTAATTGCTAACATCAGCTACAGGACCTCTCTCTGCTGGAGGAGGTTATTCGAATGACCCTGGAGATCTTCAATTCCATCCTGACGCATTCCCTTCCTACGAACACGCATCTTGTCTACAGCCTGCTGTACCAACGTGAATACCTCGCACCCATTCACACCCATCCCTCCTTCCACGTATGTGCCTTGTTTCGTGTCGAAAGCCTTTCCGAAGATACTCCTCTTTATTTTCACGGAACAGTATTCTAGCAGTTTTCGTAAGTGGGCTGGAGGTGTGGTCAACGGAGAAAGTTGGAAGTACGCGCAAATTTGCGGTCTAGGCCTTACGATCAACCAAGTTTTAGACCACGGTAACGTGGAGAACCCATTCACTTTCATAACTAGGTTGCGATAATGACTGTGACTTTCCTCGCCAATTTTGGTTGCTTTAATCCAAATTTCTGTTCTCTCTCTCCACCTCCTTGAAGGACTTGATGCAGAACATCGACACGGTTCTGGGTTACTTTGCAACACGGATAGAGAAGGAGTTGGGACCACATCCGACCGAGACGTCGAGCGTGATGACTGTCATCACGAAGTCGATCGGCGACTTTGCGCGCTACCACACCCTGAAGGTACGCCCGGCCAGGGGTTTTCGTCTTTTAATCCTTCCCAAACCACCACCACCTCTAACCGCTTCCTTCTTTGTCCTCCGTTGAAGGAATTCCAAGAGCTGAAATTCAAGTATGTGGAGGAGGACTCGCCAGACGAGTTCTTCATTCCCTACGTCTGGTCCCTTGTCTACCGGCACTCGGGATTGGCGTTTGAGCAGAAGTCACTGCACACGCTGGGCACGTATGAGTACTCGGCCGGTGACGAGGAGACCGTTGCCGCAGCCACCAAGGACCTCAGCACCCTGAACACCAGCATGGCCACCTAGCGCGTCGTCGGCGTTTTCCTGTGATTAAGTCTTTCCCCCGTACCTTCAACCTGACTTCATCAATACATATATCTGCTCCACCTTTCTTCTGCTGCGGTTTTTCTCTTGTGCTGTCACCGGCAGACCTGTGTGTCCAATAGCCCTACCCACATATCGGTGATTACAAATCGACCGAAATTAAATCAGGTTTTTCTTACTGGCTGATTCCTCTCGCCTTTGACGGGTTTTGTGTGTATTTAAGCCAGGGGGGGATTATTACTGGGCGCTCAAATCTCATTGGTGGCATCTTGTGACCAATTGGGTGGGGATGTGCATTGTCACTCGGTCACGATTGGTAAGCTCAATGTTTCTCAAAATGCATCTTTTGGAAATTTAAGCAGCACCGCACTAGGATGCGGACATCTTGGATCACTTTGGGCTCAGCCAATCCTCTGTCTCTGAGCGTTTGAATGGTGGAATCGGGGGGATGGCGCCTGACGTACGGTTGTGGCTTATGATTGATCACTAAGAGCTCGGATGTTTTACATTTAAACTAACACATCTCAATTCAACCTTGGCAGTCCATGTGGAACGCGACTCGTTTTGTATCGATTACCGGGTGCTCCAGCACGTTGATGACATGTGGTAACGCAATTGAGAAGGTGCATTCACGAAAGTGCACTGTGGGTTCCTGCAAATCGATACTTCACGAGGTTGGATTATGTGCTGCATGAGACAGCTGAACCATGAATCTGTTGCATGCTTTTGTAACACTAGTTCTCACTTACTTTCCCGTTCATTGGTGTTTTGTTTGCGTAAATTTTCGAATGATTGGCCAGCACAGAATTCTGTTGTGTCACTCCAAGTATAAATAGACTGAAAATTAACTTAAATTGCCTCATAATGCAAGAAAATAGTCATCTGGTAACCTCATAATAACAATTGGTGCTAGTGCGAACGCCTTTTTACACAAAATTTTAGAGCTTTTGTCATAGTCGCGGGTACCGTTGCACTCACCCCTTTGGCATTTTATCGATCCGGTGTGCACTTTGTACTGGTCAAAGCCAGCTGTTCAATGAAACACGCCCCTCCCTCCCTCCCAAAAAACCGCGGTAACTGCATTTCAAAGCTCGATTTTTTTACTACTCGAACGAATGCTGACTTGTATTGTATGCTTGCAAATGTTTGTTCCCCTGTAATTCATTCGTGGTAGAAGCCGGACTTTTGGCTGCGTTGATGGCAAATCATTAACAAACAATTATTTTAATGGTTCGTGAGTCAGAAGGGTTTTTACTCAAAATGAGAAATAATTTATTCACATTTTCGTCTTTTAATGCAGGGAGTTTGAAAAAAAGAGTGAGTGTTGGAGCAGCAACAAATGAATATCCAGGAGTGCGCACCTGCCCTGAGGACAATTACAATGAGGCTTTGTCGATTTCAACATGGCAACTTCAATTGAAACGATGATCTTCGTTCTGTGGGGCCACCGGATAATGATTTTGACCGTATTATCAATGATTTGGTGAAAGACAGTCTACGAATACTACATAAAGTGTTGATGACAGTTCGGCTGTATGTGTTCGTTCATCGCAACTTGGATAGGCATCAACACATCAACAAGCAGCCATCTTGGCTCAATTCACAAGTCGAGATCTTATTGAATGTCTGGTGCAATTTCAAGGTCAAACGATAAGTGCAGAGAAGCGCCATGGGCACCTCAACCAATCCGAGCAAAGCGTCTAAATTCGATCAATCGAAAATGCATCATCTCTTACCACGTCAAAAATTAGCCCACATGTTAATCAACAGAAACGGCGAAATTTAGGTAATTGAAATGGAAAATTATTCCCTTGACCGTGTCCCCTTTAGACTTTCATCTTTTCAGTTCTCTTCAAAGTAACTCTGGGGTAGATGTCACAACGATTACTCACTTCGAAAACGCCGCAAAACAGCATTATTGATTTACGGAAATGTGTTGTATTTTTTAATTCAGTTTTAAATCAGACACGATTTTTTTGTGGATGTCGCGATACGGTGAAAAGGGTTGCCATTAGCCATTAAAACAAACGCGATTCATCATAAGTGCATGTAATGAAAAGGTGGAGCGTATTTTATTCTACATGTGAGTTCCGAAAGCCATTAAACGAAGGTCCAGAGGTATATGAATTTACTACTGACGCACTACCCTAAACTATGTCGACGTGTTTTCGTGTAGAATCCATGTCGAGCTCACGTGTTAGTTTCCTCGTACAGAGTGGCGTGGTGTGAGGCAGCCGCTGCAAACGTGGTGGATTCATGAGGAAGAGACGCTGTTTCTGGAGAACTTGAGGCAGTATTTTGATTTGCACGAGGTAGTCTTCTCAGTAGAGAGTAACACTGGTCTATCCGCTACGATTTTTAAGAGGAATACTTTGGGTGGGGAATTTAAACGGATTTCTAGTGCACAACACTGATATCAAATTCACGAGTCACCTGCGCCGACGAGGACTAATGCCTCTCTGGAAGGGGCGTTCATGATTAAGCAAGTGAAACAAAGGCCTTCGCTTGGATTATGAGTGGTGATGACATTGGGATCCTTTCATGTGGCACACAGGTCAGCTAAACGGACCAATCACGTTGAGCTCACAAAATAGAAACAACTTTGCCCAATCCCGTTCACGCACACAGGACCCAAAAGCAGATATCCCGACGATGTCAACACAACAGTTTATTGGGTAACTACGGCCATATTGGTTCAATGTGACAATGTTCCAGTCCTTCCATCTCATCTCGTACTCTACTTACTTGTCAGGCATTTAAATGAAGGACTGTCTCCATGCGAACAAACTCTTCACTAGGCAAATAAGTCAAATGAATTTCTTGTAGCTAGGGGTCTCACTTTTAAATTAACTGGCAATTAATTCAATTTGAACAACTCTTAGATGATTTCGTACACTTTCCCTACTTCTGCCAATCTGATTTTACAGATGGTAATGTAAGAAATCAAGCTTATTTTTTGAACGAAATACCTGCAACCAACGTACTTAGAGCCTTAAATGGCGCCACTCGAGTCAAAACACCGAGAAGGTGTGAAAAAATTTTGCCAAGGTATTACCGTCAACAAAAAGTGTTGCCTGTGACGTTTTTAAAACTAAAATTACAATCGGTCCCACGACGGTTGTGGATCACAAAAGTGATCAAGCTAGAAATGCAATGCTGAAAATAACAACGTCTTGACACTCCCCACCACGGAAACACTGAATCAGCTACTGCGGTGTTCGGTAAGTTTTAACCACGTCTGCCGGAGACAAGGTCGGGGAGAAAATGGATGTTTAGACTACGGTGCAAGCTTAAAGCGCCAACTAGAACGTAGACATCTGAAAGCGCGAAAAATAACTGAAAATGCATAGTGAGAAATCTCGACCAGCGAGCGGCATCCGCCAGGCTACATCGCATTGGGAATACTAACGTAGCAAGGCACACTACAAAAAATTTATTTTTGTTAGCAAAAGGCATTGCGGAATGTGGAAAGTTGTGGGAAGTCCCATTCAGAGCTTGATTAAGTTTGGCTGCAGGTGGTTGATGGATGAATCAACAAAGGCCTCTGACAGCTTAGAGACAAGTTTAGAAAGTTGAGTATGACGCCTTACAAAATCGTTGTTAGTGCGTAACCCTAAACGGACAACAATTGGGTTCTATAAGCAAATACTCCCTAATTCCGGAACGTGAAACAGACTGCCTACCACAAAACCCGACTCTAAAAGGTCCCCAAAACCCAACTGCACGTACTTCGTTGAATGATCGACGCCAAATCAAGAGTAAAGAGAGGACTACGTGGAAAGCAATCGCGCAATAGAAATACCCAAAGTTAATACCCATGGTCGCGTTCAAGCAACCGTGACTCGCAAGTACCGACACATACGGCCGCCAACTTCCCTAAGCATAGCGGACATCTTCCACCTCCAGATCCCTGGATGAATGACCAATCAATAGTCTTTACAACTCAATAGTGCTTAGGGTTAAGACAACTTGGTCTACCTTAGGTTGGGTTTTTACAGGCGCAGAAACAATGCACGTGAATCGTTGTGTCGCCCACCACGAGACTGATACCGACAAGACCCTACCCCACGACTTTAGCGACTCGTTTGAATGAAACAGGGATCTAACGAACTCGCACCCCGGCGTTAAGTCAAACGTGCTCTGAAACTAGTGTTTATACTATCAAAAGTACAGGAAAGGTAAATATACCACAAACGTCGAGTTTGATTAGAGTTGCCACATGGCATGTAAAAAAGCATAATTACAGCATGCGACGCCATGTGACGAAAAATGTGCGGCGCACGGTCGATGTCGGAGAAAGACCATTTTGTTTGGTTGTGGCAAAAGAATGCCCAAAAGTTGATATACAAGGTAAAAAAAATTATGCTTAGAATAATTGTTGCGATTTAGTCAGTGGGGGGCTCTGGAGAAGGAGTCTTAGTTGGTTCCGGAGATTCCGGTTCATTTACATCAGACTGTACATTCTCGTGAGTTGGGCTTTCATTATCACCGACCTATAAATTAGTTATAGAAGATCACAATAGCCTACCTCGGTGGCAGAAAGATGTTCTGCAAGCTCATTAATTATGTCCCTGAATTTACTAACGGAACGACCGGGAATTGTAATTGCTGTGCGACTAGACGCCCAGACCTGAGAAATCCGCAAAAAAACACCATAACGATTGGACACTGAATCGAAATACAGAGTGCGATTGTCAATGCGGAAAACTTTAGGTTCCGGTAAGACTATATCTGCAAATTTTAGCATTAACAAAAAACAGATTAAAACCTTTTTTCTCATTATTAGAGGGCGTACGATTCCACCAAGTCTTCAGTAAACCACAAATAGAATCATGCAATTCTCGCATGCCTTCCGCAGGAATGGCAAGCTTTATTCGAGCACTTGTAGACAACATTGTTACCCGCAGAAAATAACCACGCTGGTTTCGTTTGAGGTCGAGGTAATATCTGCGATGGGGGTAATTTAAGATATGAGATTTGATAATCCCGTCATCTTTATCATCATGATTGGAAGGACTGGGCTGTTCTTCGCTTTTTTTCACTAGTTCTTCGTAGATATTGACAATATCAAGGACTTTATCCTTAAAATCATCGGCTGCCGTCATCGTCAGAAGGATCCGTGACTTTCTTCCATCCATTCCAACCTTATCGTACGTTACAGATAAGTAGACACTACCTCGGCAATTTTCATAAAGCGACCCCGCCAATTTTTTTTGACATCTACATAAAATCGCTTTTTATGAATTTGAAGTGCGACTGTGGCGAGGTCCTCTTCGTCTATAACTACACAAAGACATGAATGCAATATAGGCTTACGTGGACGTGGAACACCCTGTAACGGATACGGGAGGATCGGAAATTGTTGTCTGTATATTAATGGATGCATTGTGTGCTCAATGCCCTGAACTACAACTCGAATATTATATAAAAAGGTATTAAGCAATGTATATTTAGCGGAGACAAACCCTATTAGTCACGCTACCACAAACCCTTATCAGTCGTGAACGTCATACAAAAGAACCAGGCAGCCTTACAGATACTTAAAACAATGTCAAATTCAAAAGTCCGAATTTTTAACATTGATTTAAAAATAATGCAGCATTATGATTTTCTATCAGGCTTAAATGTTAAATATTAAAAATGGATAATGTAAATTTCAAATGTTTCAGCAGACTTTAGTCTCAGATTGATCTGGAGTGCTTATTATTTGACCTTAGAAGACATTTACCAGAAAAATATTCTGACTGTTCTTACAAAAAAATTAGACCCAAATCTCTTCGAACCAATCTGATAGTCAATCTTCGACAAGGGTCAATCTTTTATGGTTCTCCCAACGTAGTTTCCATCTCATGAACCAGTTTTTCTTTTATTTTTGAATTAAAACAAAAGTACAAGAAAGTGTCGTCCACTTCTGTTAATAATGCCACAGCAAACGCGAACGTGTATTTTAATAATTATATGCCTCATTGTTGGCACTCCCGAAGTTACACACCGAAAAAGGGGCATTCTAATTTTACGAAGAAATCTGTGGTTATTAACATATAGTTGGTCTGCAGACGGATCATCTATGGTCTTGTTAGTTATCCGCATTAAGGGAAGGTCCGGCCACTCAAGAATTCCCCAGGAAATGCTGTTACACCCTGGACTGAATCAACTAAACCCTGAATTTATCAGCTTAATTCGAGTGGCCATTTATTTGACCTAAAATCTTGCTGGCGCTACATGCTCCGCCTCCGACGACGATTGTTGGGCGAAATCAATGGATTTTCAACCTACATAAGCAGCCCATCTTTCTGGCGAATGAACTATCTTATAGTCATACATCCAATTGGATTAAACAGGTGGTAATTTTAACAGGCGGAGTTGAATTGACAAAATCCTAACTTATCAGCACACTTATCTTTTCCTAGTTACATCCGCTGTCTGAATATTTGGCTTCCATCTTAGCATTAAGAGCACAATATTTGTTGGCCCAAAGTAAATTTTACGAATTTGTCCACTTAATATGGACCGGGATTTACGCACGAATTTGTGCTCCAAGGCAGAAATAAAGGTCCTGACCTGGCTCCCTTAAAATCGCCACAAAGAATATTTGAGGCCGAATTATATGAATATCACTCCCTTTTAAAATAATCCGAATTGTGGAAGACTACTACTGTAATAAGCAGCAGGAAAAGTCGTCAACACAACACGAGGTCAAATCAGGAACTAATTTGGTCCCAGAAAATTACTTAATGCCACTTTTAAGAACGTAATTTATTCCAATGCTCGTTTAGAAGATTTGTACTGAAATAAATTTCAGATATTCGCATAAAAACAGTAAAAGAACGCAAACAAGTACAACAATCACACAGATTTATTCGTTGTAGTCATCAAAAACATTGGCGCCACTTTTCTTTCTTGATTGCCTGGATAGATATTTCTCCTTCCCTCTCTTCGTTAATAACTTCAACCGCTCCTCCTTTACCTTGTCTCGTAGTTTATCTAGACAATAGGGAAACACCGCTCCAGCCTTAGGTATATTCACTCGTTTGCATAGGTAGAAATAACAAAAGAGACTGGGTAACGTCAAAAAGTAAAATTTACAAAAAAATGTTTTCAAAGATCACCAAGTACAGCAATTTTTCTACCCACTGCACAAAAATGGGAAACACCCAACTAAATACAAAATGAATCAGTACAATAGTACACATGTTCCTTATGTGTCAATGAGCTAGAATACTTGAATTCACACACACTTCAAATTATCGTGGATAACAATAGGACCACCGCTATTGGCTAAAGCAGAATTCGGTTGCATTTTGTTTGACAGTTACTAAATTTTCTGTTTCGAATTAACCAGCCCCCCCCCCTGAACTAGCGAAACAGTAGTGAGAATTAGCTTACTTCTGGTGATAAAGGAAGCGCGTTTTCCTGCTCTCAGAGCATCCATTTGTTGCCTTTGAAGATCCCGTTTTACGCGTCTTTTTAGTTCGACGTCCATTTGTGTAGCTCGACGCTGGCGTAGCAGCTGGATCGCCTTCGTTACTTTCTCTCGTTGCTCCTCAGACCTGACCTTTTTCAACTGCTTCTTGAGAATCTGAAGACGAGAAAGTGTTGAGTAGAAAAGTAGCTAGTGGGACGAATGAATAGTGCGCAATTTGAAATTGCAATAAAGTCGATGAGGATTAAGAAAACCAGTGAAGTCTGACGTATTGCGGGACCTGTCGTCTTAATTTCGACAAAGCAAGAATCTGATGGGATGACATTAATATTAAGTTGTTAAGATGACACACAAATGCGACTAAATCGCTTGCCAAAACAAACTCGGCAATTCTATAAAACCACTGTAATTTTTAGATAAAAAGTATATGCAAAAAAGTTCATAAACAGTTCTCTTATTTTGCGCATTTACACTCCTGCACAGAAGTTTTCCTCGCGATTACACTAAGCCATAAACCCAAATGCAGGGTAGTGTGATGAAAGGAGCTAGCTTAAAGAGCACATTAATTTATAATTGAACAAGATAATGTGACGATAGTCACACACACAAAAAGCTCAAATACAGAAACGGGAAAAAAAGAAAAAAAAAGGTAAGGATGCAATACCTTACACGCTTAATAATGACACAGTGACATATGATCAAAAGGGCAAGCAGCTGATGCGAAAGATAGATTGCCGAAAATGACAAAAGCGTTTGTACGGGTGAACATCAGAATACTCTATTTTTAAATATATACAGAACTACATTAGATACCCTAAACTAACAAATCGCGATTTGCAGTTACAAAAGCTTCTGCAAGATATCACAGCTTCTCGTTGTTGACAGGATCAACAACGTCAGGGTGTTTTGTAATCTATTTCCTGCAATGAGTAGCAGCATTTAAGCCAAACCGCTTATTTGTGTATGTGACATAAAAATGACATCTATTAATTTTATGAATTGGATGTTTTGGTAGAAATGCAACAAAATAGACTTCGTTAGTCATTAAATACACATTTTCAGTAGAATTCACCAATACGGGATAGTAGAGTTTACCTGCATCGTGTTTTCTTGTTCCTCTTTTAATGATGTCCAATCACTTAATACGCACAATCCATTGACTCTAGGATCAAACCGGGGGTCGCGAAACTGATTTTTTCGTATAAGCTGCTTTTTTGCATGCTCATAATCCCTTTTGAGGTGTTTTGATAAAACGAATTTATCTTTTTTGAGCTGTTTAAAAGACACAGAAACAGGCTCATCGTCATCTGAGGAGCACACTGAAGACGCTGCCATCTCCAAGGACTAACTCAAACAATGGCTAGGATCAAGAAGTTGCTTATTCACAGTGTTTTATGCGACAAAATACTATTTTCATACTAAGAAATGCTTTGTTCCTAGTTAATTTCTGTCATTTCGCATCAGACAATAATTCACTTCACGAGTGTCTTTCGTTATTTCGCTGTGGTAATTTTGTTCATGTACGTCAATATCCTAAGGTACAAAGACTTGAGAGTTGTGATGTGTTTTGCTTTATAAGATTTTAAGTACAAATAAGCTATTCCTCAAAAAAATTTTATGTTTCGCAAAAATACACAGAGCTTAAAAGTGTAGTCGGCCATAACCTCGAGAAAAAATTATACAAACTAATGTTTTGATTATTTTAGACACTAAATTTATGGGCAAATTGGAGATAACGTCAGGCTGCTCAAATCAATCCTAAGCAGATCCTGAATTCTAATAACATTTTAATTGTTTAGAAATGAGAATTTTGACACCTAAATTTACGCTTACTTGAAATTCTTGTTTCCGTTATTTTTGCATTGTAATGCAAATCAGCTTCTCCTTGTTTGTGATTTTACTAAATCTTAGCCTCTTAAAAATTAGACAGGCAAAGCTGCGTGAGATCACAACCAATATAAAATAAATGGTTAATTACCTCCCAGAACTAATTAGTTTCCTGTGGGAGTGAGAGATGGCCAATGAACGTTGGTAATTATGATGCGTTAAAATCCTCGCTTGCGTTTCAACAGTATTTGGTCCTCTTAATTTGCCTGGGTTTTAGTGTAAATTAATTGAATCAGTACATCGCGGTGACCCCCGTGTGAATCAAGGCTACATGATGAGGCCTTTAGAAGCAGAATATGTTCCCACTGATTTCGCTAAAAATGAATGTATTTCAAAATTTTTTCTTGCGGTATAAGCTTTAACTTTTGTAGTCTTGCATTACAGAAGATTAGCCAGATTTAAAGTTCGTACACTATTACTTGCGTACCCGCCCCCAAAATTGTCATTTTGCCTTTATTCGAGCCATCCAGGTTTCTACAAAATCCATACGATTAAGGTAATGCACCCAACACTTCTCAGAGATTTATGGGCCACGTTCAGCGTGGTCTTAACCTAGTTCTTTTCTATATCGATGACATTCTCATAGCCAGTAAAGGAAGAATATTTGGTGCATCTGCAGCAAGTTTTACCTGCCATAAAGCTTAGAAAATCAAAATTGGCCCTTTAAATTTCATTGCCATCACATCGGCGTCGACGGGATTAGACCTCTGAATGAGAAAATATCAGCTATCCGGGAGTACCCGATGCTAGAATCACCCCGTAACTGAAGTTGTTTTTTAGGGTGTTCAAATACTACGTAGGATTTACTCAACATGCCGCCGAAATTTTGTCTTCACTTCATGAGAATTCCAAGAAGCTAACGCTCACCTGGGTGGCTAAAACTGCATATAAGTCCATCACGGACAATATAGGGGATATCTCAAACTCGTGTTTCTTAAAGGAGGCTGCAGAACTAGTCTAACCATCTCATACTTCCAAGATTGCGGCCGGTGCAGTCCTTCAACAATAACTGGCTACTGGTACTGAGTCATTACCGTTTATTTCTCGAAAACCTTAACCCCCTCAGACCTATTAAAGCACTTTTCCCACAAAACTATCAGCGATTTATTTTCCTCTAAAACACTTCCGTCACCTACTGTGTCGTGCGATCCAGGTATCCTGGTCGTAGTTCACAGTCCACAACTAGTATTTGCCATGTTAAGGGCACATTCATAATCTTTCGTTTTTTGGTATCAGTCTTAAACAGTTAGCTGTAGGGCAGCCTGATGACCCTAAATTACGACAAATTCGTCGACACACCGATCATTATCTGGAAGAATTGTCATTTTCCACTGTTCCACGAAAATTACTTGCAGTACGCGGCTCAGCTGACATCAGACCTTTTCTTTGTGCCAAATTTTGAAAACAAAAATTTGATTAACTTCACTCACTTTCACGCTCTGACATTTACGCTACAGTATGCTTGATTTTACACCGTTTTCTTTGACCTACCATCTGCAATGATGCCTATTTATTTGCTGACCTCTGTATTTAATTTAGTTGATATTAATTAGTTGATCTTTATTTAATATCAACTCAACAAAGTTCACTGACACAATATGACACAACTAGCTAATTATCTACATCATGTACAGATTTAGTTGGGCCCCATCATGTTGTTTTTGAACCACGGAAATGAGTAGGACAAGGTCCGGAAAGGACATAGACGCAGTGGTTTATTTCAGAGCTCAAGCAATTTAGAGTCGTTGCGTCTTGTGTGGCGTTTACGCGTGTGTATTTATAGCTTAGGTGTGTAAAACAGCGTGAGTTATAAATGTGCATACATTGAGAGCAAGGCCAAAGTTGTCAGGTGTAAAGATAATTCAGAGAGTCAAACTTAGGTAAGGCTGACGACATGCTGTGAAAATGAGAACAATGTGTCGGAGACTACAGCGGTCGGATTAACCGGATTCGCAACATTCCAGCAAAAATCGTCTTTCAAACAACTTTACATCTGTCTTGTAAAATTACTTCTACTTCTGACAATAATAAATATGTTTCAGTGCCTTATGAAGGAAACCCACCTCTCGCTATCAAGAGTTTTCTCATGGCAGACATTTTTTAGCCAATGATAAATGCCTCGTAATTAAGTTCAACAGTTTTCGAGAGTTTCAACTACCTGAAATGGACTGTCCATTGATCGTTCCTAAGTAAAGCCTGTTTACCGACCACTGGTGCCAAAAAATTGTCTCTATATAATTGGTTGACGTTGTCATTTGCCTTCCATCCGATATACGTCAGCTAGTTAACGCGAAGTTAATGAACGGTTGCATTCATTTTTGCCCATCGTGTCGTTATAATGGGCCACTAACCAGTTGGATTGAAATGCAGTGTCAGCGATACCTCCTCAAGGCAGAACTTAATCAAACTTCATGAATTTATAAATTAAAATATTTCAAAAGATTTACATTTACTCTATAAAGCACAACAAGCACATTCATTAGCAGCCTAAATGATAAACATTAAAATGATTATTCAACACATAGGTGAAACCACCGAATATGTGCCTTTCAAATATCTAATAAAGGTCTTGTTAACTGTGTAATTAGGGGCTTTGATTTAAAGACAAAAAATAAAGATATTTCAAGAATTATTAAAAATGCTCTAAATTTTTTAACGCATTGATTAGATAACCAATTTCCAATTTCGTTTGTAAAATCAAAAAACTGCGGTGTGCATTAATCCAAATTTATTTACAAAATACTGTTCACAAGCATCACTTGGTAAAATGTTTAATGAAATATGACACTTGTCATCACCTACCACTTCGCATTTCCTTGCTATCGTCGGTTTTATTTGCCAAAACAATTATCACAGCATGCTGTAAAGTGGAATATTAATTTGGCAGATCTGTTGTAGCTAATTACACTTTAATTGCCTGTCATAATTGTAGAAAATCTTATAAAGATTAAAGATGATGCAATAGTAATTCAATGGACTGTAGGCGCTTGCGAATATTAGGGTATTTCGGTAGACTGAAATATACATCAAAATTGATTGCAATAATTTTTTTCCTAAATGACTGGGTAATTATCGATTAAATATGGCTGTATAGTGCAGAAAATTGCTTAGACACAGGTAAAGGGACCGAACTGTGTGTAAAAAGCATGCAAAGTTAAGTGAATTGTTTGAATCGAGTCTAAAAATAATGTTAAATACTATCTTATACATTTGGACATACTATAATGCCCACATTTTGATTTAATTGCACCCGTTTGTTAAAAGTTTTACTTAATTTATTCCTTGAAATAAATAAAATCAACTCAGTATAAATAGTTAGAGTTGAATCACCTGAGGAATGTGGTGTGACCTCAAAGTCCCTATTGGCGGGTGTATAAAATTCTATTCGTGATTTTCGCGTTTATTAAACTCTCAGGTGAGTAGTGGTTATTTTTTAGCAGATTAACTAGACAAAAAGGTTGCATTGTATCCTAACGTAATTTTCGAATGCTAATATCATTTTTTAATTTACACTAATGCCTGCAACAACTACGGAATAATGCCAAGCATTTAGTTCTCACCGGTACAAGCTTTTTTACGTGAACTCAGTTGTGTCAAACTACGTAACTAATAAGTTTTTGTAATGTATTCTTCTCTGATTCATTACGGTTGTCATATAATTTGGAGATGTTTTTAAAGTCTCTTTATTGTAGATTACGCATATCCTGATTGCTCTTTAATGCAATAAGGAATCAAACTAACTGCTTGCATGCTTGCATATTCAGCTTACATAGGTCACTTTGAATTCTGGTAAACTGATTTTGATTACTTTTATCGGTCACAATTCATCCGTAGCAATAGTGTATTGAATCTTCAATATGCCTCAATTTGATAAATTTTATTCTTTGGATACGTGCCATCGCTAGTCTGAAAGCGATTAAGGCGTTCTTCTTGAATTCGCTTTAAAGCATTTTTTATGGATTTATTGATTTCAAATCAAATGCTGTTTTCAAACTTGTTTTGCCGTACGCATTATTCTCTTTATGCCACATTGTTAACCTTTTTTCGTTTAGCGAATACGTTGCGCACCTTAAGTGTTAGTGGAATGCCTTATCCTACAGTGGCAGCACGCATTTTCAGTAATCAGAGTAAAGGATTAGGATTTAACAAAAATATTACCTTATCTTTAATAAAGCAGAATGTTTAATGGCTTATGTTAGCCTTAGATCCCCTTTATCGAAGCAGTTGTATGTAGCTGTGTTGACCAACTTGTAGGGACTATTTATATATCTATAAAGTGTTCTATTTAACTAATTTTTCATGCTGTCCTTTCTATAAAAGTAGTCGAGTCCATTATATTTTCTCTGCTTGTTTCTGCAGCGGAAAGCAGTAGGCTTCATTTTGGCTGGATTTTTGGTTTTTGTTTCTTCTACAAAACAATGACGCCTGCTAGTATATATTTTTAAAAA